CCTGGCTGGTGCGCCCGCCGCCCAGTTAGCGCCCGGGCGGCGCGGGCTGCGCCCAGCCAGCTACGCTGAGCCTGAGCAGGAGAACGAGGACGGGGACCAGGTGAGTGCAGGGGCCGGGAACTCCTGGCCTTGCCTCAGTCTACCCCTTTTGGAGCCCTAGGCCACACTACTCCAGCCCCCAAGCTGGCCCATCCCTCCGTGCGTCAGGCCCCAGGTGGACACGCAGACTAGCAGAAGGGAATGCCCGGGCTGGGATGCTGCGCTGCTGTAGCAGGACTAGGCGCCCCTCCTTGCTGCCCAAGGGTGGGCGACCGCGGCCCGGAGCAAAGGTGGTTGCCCCTGCCCAGGGGGATTCTTTCTCACAGTCATTTTCCCCAGGGTTTCCCCCACGCCCCTTCCCAAGAGGTAGGATGGCGGGGCTGGAGAAACAAGTGGAACCTGTTAATGATTAATGGGCGTGGACACAGGTGGCCTGAGCCCTGGAGGTGTGGCAGGGGTGGAGGAGGGAGGGGTGGGGAGAGGGAGGGAGGCTGGGGTCTTCCCTCCCCCAGACCTCCCCAGAAGGAGCCAAAGTCAGAGCAGAGGCAGGGGCTGCAGAGGCTTGTGGGTTGGGGGGCGGGGGTGCTGCAACAGAGCTGGAACCCTGCAGGTCCCTGCTCCAAGCCAGCACTTGGGAACAGCTGGGCTGAGTGCAAAGCAGGACTGTGCTCTCTTTCCGTGGGGACCCCTCCCCAGCTGCCCAGAACAGGAAAGGGGCTTCTGTCTCCCACACTGGTGGGAGGGGAGAGCCACAGGTCTGACACCCGATCCCAGGTTCCTGTGGTGACAGATGCCATGGAAACCCTCAGGAGAGGCAGGTGTGGAGGGAGAATCCAACCTCCTTGCATATCAGGGCTGAGGGGCAACCTGAGGCTCAGTGAGTTCAAGACTTGTCTGGGCCACACAGGAGGCTGGCTGTATGTCCTGCCCCTCCCCAGGTTGCCCCACTGGCCTGAGAAGGAGGCACTGTGGCCACCCCTCTTGTTGGGGGTCGATCTTCATTATTCTAAAGGGGAAACAGGCTCCGGGAGATTTGCCCAAGGTTGCACAGTTCAGAGGAGACAGAATTGACTCCCAATGGTAGGAGTCTGGTCCCACCACCTCCTTGGCCCCATCTCAAAGCTCCACTCCTGTTTGGCATGCCTGTCTCCCTGGGGTCGTAGTCTGGGATCTGCCAGACTCCAGCCCCGGAACCCTCCCCGCTCGCTCGGCTCCCTGGCTCCCTGGCTCCCAGCTCCGCCTGACACTCAGGGCTGGGTAAGAGCAGAGACAAGGGAGCCCTGTTCCCAGCTGCCACCTCGGGCTGCCTTTGTCCCCGCTGCTCTCCCAGGCAGAGCCTGCCTGAAGATGCACCCTGTGGACAAAGAAATTCCGTTTCTTGTCTGTCCCCTTCCTCAGTGGGTCCAATGCCCTCTGGTCACTCACTGAAGGAGGACTGTGTCCCTGGGAGCCCCTCCCTTTAGAGACGGAGGAAAGGGGCAGGGACTCCCTGGGAGGAAGACAGACTAACAGTGGCTTTTCAGGCAGGGCAGCTGGTTTGGGAATGACTGCTTACTCCCCTCCCATTGGGTGGGGAATAGGGCGGCCCCTCTTTGAGGAGCCCCTAGCTCCCACCTCTTAGAACCAGCCAGGGCCAGTTGAAGCTTACGTGCCATGGGGATTGCCAGGGTAGGGGTACAGGCTGGGAGAAAGTGGGGACCTGAGGACATCTGCCTGTCACTTCCAGGAAGTGTGGCAGTTGAAACCTAAAAATCCAAGAAGTCCTTGCTGGGGACCACAGACTGGGTCCCCGCTGGGCCTTGACTTGCCATGAGACCCTTTCCTGTCTGTGCCTGTTTCCTCACCTGTGGTATCTGGGGACTGGAGAGACTCCAGTCTGGAATATGGGGGGTATGGGGCCTTGGAGAGAGTGCTAGTCTGGGCCGACTAGAGAATCAAACTCACAGACGCCCATATGTGTATCAGAAAGAGCTTTATTAAAAGGAAATAGAGGAAAGAACTAGGAAGCAAAGGGCATTTATAGAGGTCTAAATACAGGCATGTACATATGTAAATGTA